ATATGAGCGGAAGGACATCAGTGAGAGTGCGTTGATAGAAAGGGGGGGGGGGGGGGGGGCGCTCTGGGGAAACCTCGCCCCCCCTAATGAAGAATCCTGCGCACGCCTATGGATTCTACCATATTCTGTTGCGGGTGAAGAAAGTCTTTGGGTACACGATACTTGAAACAAGTCTGGCACTGTACGTTGTGGTTCGACGCCCACTGATGTCGTCGTCCTTATAGAGCCTCATCATTGAATCATTACCTCGAGCCCCCCCCCCCCCCTCATATTGCTCTTCATCAACAGTAAGTACAATAGGCTACCGCCATATTACAATGCAAGAATTGAAAAATTGAGTCGTTCAGTCCTTCAACAAATTTATTATTTATACAATGTTATTACGTAACATTATCTCGAGACGATCGACGTCCATCGTTGATCTTCAAATACTTATACCTGCATATAAATTAGACGCACAAAGGGGGGGGGGGGGGGGGGGGTCGGTGGCCGAGCGCATGGTCTAGCGCACACCAGCTCGGAGCACTTGGAGCGAAAGCTCGCGCTGCAGAAGCCTCCCCGCCCCAGCCCGTTTCGATCTGGAAGAGCATCGTACCGGCGTGCGGTCGTGTATCACTACTGCGTGGTACACGTTAAAGACCTCAGGTTTGCGGTTGTACCGCACTGCCTAAATTGCTCATCTACAGCTACACCAGACGCCCACTAAGGCAGACTAACTTCCGGCTGTAAAAACATACACACAACCATTTGCAATTAGACGCATAATAACAAAGAATACAGCGTGCCGCCTCTTTTCTTTGGATGCCGTTTTTAAACCAGCGCAAGCTCGCGCGTTCTCTCTTTTGAGACGGTTAGAACGGTCGCAAATAAAGCCCGCGTTCCTCCTACCCGGCCGCTTCCTCCTCTCATTATGTGTAGTTGGTTATAACTAAACAAGGTATTATAATGGTGTATTATTCATATTTACTTTCAGTTTCAGTCAGGGAAAAGGAGTTTCGCGGGAACTAGAGCAAATAAATTAGCTGCGCTTAGAATATCGGCACTCTCTTCCCCGACAGTGTTGTTAACGCCGCCATTCTGGTGCTTGTGCAGAGCAGGCGCAACTGCCGATCGACATGATTCAAAAGTGCGACATCCTCAGCATTAGATTCGGTGCTAGGAAGCTCATGTAATGTTGCTTTGCTTTGTCGCACACTGTTTAAAGTGGAGGACGGAAAAGCGTTTCTTGTGATTTCAGATAAAGCTTCAAATAACTGGCAACCATGATTTTAAGCCACAATATGGCCAAGTGTCGCTACTCTAACGAGTAGCTTATTTAATGACACTGTTCATGCTCTTGTTCAAGAGGCTTGTAATACCTGGAGGGGCCATGACGTTAAGCCCCGTGGATTCCACAAGCCACTCACTACCTTTTGACACCTGCCTCTTCTACAGCACTATATAGCTCCTACGGAGCAGAGTAGCGCAATCCTTTGAACCCCGTGTTTTGCCGACAACATGGCCGACAGAGCGGCTCGGCGCGAGTCACGTGGTACTCAGGGTTCCAGGAGGCGGCCCGCCCTATGAGAGAATACATGGAGATCGACACAAGACTGCTGATTAAAAAATGAACGGCGAGTTCACACTTTTCAAAACTAGTCTGTCGTGAAGGTAGTAAAGCACTAAACATTTTATCAAAGTTTTAATAATATTGGATGCCTGTGCAAATTTCGAGAAGGCAATTTCCAAGGCAATGGCGTTTGAAGCAGACGATTTTTGCTCGCAGCGGAGATGGGCTTTTCGGGTTGGCCGGAGCGGGTCACGTGAATGGTGTGACGTCACCGTGTCGTCTGCTGCATGATGCCGCTCAGGCAATTTTTAAAAAAAAGTCACGTCCTTGCGGGGCACAAAACTTCGCGCAAATTATTTTAAAATGTTTCATTATGATGTCAAAAACGATTGCCATTCCGTACATCCCCACAATACTGAAGAAACAACGATTTTCTCACGTTTTCCATGCATTTCTGACCGCAGTTGGAACCTCCGGGCGTTCGCCGCTAGTCGCCGAGAGGCGGCGTTCTAGATTGCGCTACTCTGCTCCGAAGGAGCTTGTGCTTGTGCTAGTAAAATTAGCTACGGTTCAGAGTAACGACACTTGGTCATATTGTGGCTTAAAATCATGGTTGCCAGTTACCTGAAGCTTTATCTAAAATCACGGGAAACGCTTTTTGCGCCCCACAAATGTTTACCCCACAAATGTTTAAACAAACGCCCCACAAATGTTTAAACAACCCGCGACAGAGCATTGCAATATTGCATCAGCTTCCTAGCACCGCATCTAAGGCTGAGGAAGTCGTACTTTTGGATCATGACGATCGGCAGTTGCGTTTGCTCTGGACAAGACCGAAAATGGCGGCGCCCAAAACAATTTTGGGGAACGGAGTGCCGATACTTTAAAGCTCATTTAGTGACTCTCGGCATGAAGTGAACTCGGGTGCATTATTTTCCTCTTCGTCTTTATTGTTTATTGATTTTAATCATATCGAATAATAAACACATTATATCACGCTACGCGTGTGTAATTATTTGTCTTAGATTTATTAACCTGACCCAGTACTTAAACCATTCATTTATCGATAATAAATCTTCCAATATATTTTTTAAATGTGAAGGTAAGAAGACACAGAGATTGATGATGATACAGACGCCAATGCCGCCCTCGGAAATTTTTTGAACACTAGAAATCAGCAGTTTGTCTGCCATCCGCCAGGTAGCGCAACAAAACACCCAAACAGTTTTTAATTGTTTTTAAACTTAGCTAAGCTCTACAACTATTAAGAAACCAAAGCAAGATCATTGTGAAAATTTAATACATCGCAATGTATATCTATTCCAAACAGATAAATGTTATTAGATGCCAATAAATCTGTTTGATGTCGAAAAAAGATATGCGTCAAAAACAGGTAAGTTTGAAGGGCTCCTGGAGCGTTATGACTTTGAAAATGAAAAAAAAGCCATCGTCCACCTCTTGGGCAACCATTGTAGCTCTAAATATTATAGAAGATGTGATCATAGTTTAATTATTTCCTCAGCGGCATTTGAAGTACCATGCCTCGAAGCACAAAAAAGTGCTATGTTTGATATAAAATATCTATACAAAAACATTTTACACAACATTAAATTTTTTTCTGCATATTACCAATTATAAGCACTACATCTGTAGCTAATTTCATTGGCCTAGCGCTTGTCATTAAAAAAACATTTGTGCTGAAAAATGTCAATTTCAGGGCAATATTTGGAGGGATGAAAAAAACAAAGTAGTGCAAATACCAAAAAAAAAATGTATCGTTACATTCTGCTCCGACATCATCTTAACAAAACTGCTATATTGGAACCGTGCTATCTTTAATGAATCGTTCATAAAACATTAACTAGCGGAGCAAGTGAGGGTCCGCGCCATCATATTCGCAACGCTACAAACGCGCATGAACAGTAAAAACCAACACATACATAAAATCAAATGAAAGAGGATTGCATTGCCTTTCGAATGACGTCAATCCCACCAAACAGTATTTAAAAGGAGATGAGTAATGACCTGCCAAAAAGTACCTAAACTGCCACATTCAGTGGGACCTTGGCCTTAAGTCCAAACGAGCGGAGCCTCAGACGAATCAGATACATCTTTGAAATGAAGCAGGCAGCTTGAAAGAACTGTGTGTCTGTCCTTCGTCTATCTCAGGGTTTAATTATGTCTGTCTGAACTATTGCCAAAGTCCGTTTGAAAACACCGCCAAATGTAGTTTCGTTTCACGTCGCGTGCGGCGCTCGCTCAACAGATGGCGCAAGCCTTAGCTGCCGGTCACGTGAGAGTTCGAACCGAATGTTGGACGAAAAGAAATGATGAAGTAGGCCTAAGTAATCGTCGACAGCTCTACTCTTCTGCTTCGCACGTTAAATTAGTTCCTACGTTATGATCCAGACACTATAAAGGTGAGAGAATCCGCTTGTTGTCTTCGTTGAAGACCGGACCCGGGCTGTACCCGGGCCGAACGTAGACGGTGCCATTTTGCCCAAGTCGTCAGAGGGCACGATGGCAATGCGTTTGCTGGAAAATGATCGGTCTTTCGCGGTCATAACTCGGGCTTCCGCATGTTTTCTCGCATATGATCAGATGTCGCTAAACGCAATCTAGCTGGCTATCTATTATGTCACTAAGATTCACGTTTGTGCCACAATGAAACCACCGAAAATGCCGCAAAAAATAGCCGGTTAGCGTTCGATAACATCGCGAGTCCCTCGGGCCCCGACCTGACCTACACACTTGTTTCGGAGAAAGCACAGTGGTCCAGTCGCCTACGGAATTTTGCTTACCTTTCATCGTAACAGTGCAGCGTAAAGGGTGACGGCATCATGTTCGCAAAGAGTGCCCTGCCGTTTTCCCCATTTTCCTATGCATCACGGCGTGACCGCTCGTCGCACTCGTCGCGTTTACAATTTCATCGACACCACCAAGATCGAGGAGTCTTCGCCGTATTCAGAAACGGTGGCCGAATTGACATCGAGGAATCAGGAATCTGGCGCTTCCGAAGCGAGTGGCGAGAGCTTGAGCGCGAAGGGGTCCTGGTTTGTCGCCGAGTTGGTCAGACCGTGGCCATCTAATGTCAGCTTGTATCCACAGTGGCATTTGTGCGACTGTGCTGTTCACTCTTCGTCTCTGCTTCGAACTGCAGGATGCCCAAAGATGTCATGAAAACAGCTTTCTGATGGACGTGTAATCGGTCTCTCGGCATTCACTTGTCGGATTCACCTGGTTCAGACCTCTAGCGCTATATCTGGGTGCAGAATGAGCGTTCGCAATGAGTAGTTTATTTTTGTGGCGAAATAAAAAAAACCTCCGTAGTGACCGGAGACACGGGAGTATGGAAGTAGTAACCGGAGACACGGAAGTTCTTCACCAGCTCGTCTCTGTTATTACTCTTTCCTCAAAAAACCGAATTTTTTTCTTTTGGGGAGGACACCCTGTAGATTGTGTTTACATAAAAAAGCCTAACCCATTTCCTCTGCTACATATTTGACATCGCATCAGCCGCTATTGTGGTGGTCTTCCTTCCAAGTACATACCTTCTGCAGCCTCGTAGCACCAAATTCGTTCTTCACATAAGGGGCAAGTAGGAATGACCACCAACATGCTGCAACGACGTCCTGTGCAAGCCACATATAGAAACGGCGTGTTTTGGTTGGGCTTCAATCCGATACCGAAGGCAATTACGGTAAGGATTCAGGTATCTTGCAAATTCCCGAGACCCGAAAATTACAATCACCGAGGCAGTGTCTTATGGCTAACCTTTGTGCACTCGTTTTCTCAGAATTCACCATTCTAAAAGTGCAAGATTTCTCTGGCTAGAACTATACCAATGAACTATTCGATGAAGCGATTAGTGCCACGAATGGTCTTTCAGGGTGGGCCCCGCTCCATCCTTACGACACTAGTTTCGTATGGCATGTCCAGTTTTATGAGCTTGGCTACCCCCAGATTCTGACTGTCCAAGTTGAGCACCTTCACTGCTCTGCACCCTCGCAAATGTGAATGCACGATCCCAGTCTGGTCCTGTGCCTGCTCCCGTAAGCTTTCTAGTCTGAGCAGTTCCACTTGCTTCCGCTTTTCTGCACATTCTTGCCTCCGCTTCGTTCAAGCACCTGTCTCTGTTTTGGTCAAGCCGATGCAACCTAAAATAATCGAGGCCCACAAGCATCCTCCCCTTTTTCCGTGGAACATCGTCACAGTCGGAAGGTACCACATGGGCAGTTAGTCCCGAGCCCTTGGACACGTTGCACTCGTGTCCTTGTCTTTTCTCGATCTCGCCACGACAATGTCAAAACTTTTGCGCGCAGGCTTCAGTTATCCTAGGTGCCGTTGGTCAAGCGTGCGTGCCATAAGTGATTGCGACGAGATACGGTGCAATCGGTGCCTGACGTTGCCTGGTCTCCCACTGGTGCGTGTGTCCAAAAAAGTGCTACCTCGATTTCTGCCGTTCTGGAAATGCCATTGCTGGCCATGATCCTGGCGGCGTCACAACAGCAGTGCTGGATGTGGCAGACGCCTCTATGCTGCTCAAGGCCGCTTTCCACCTCAACGGTCCATGGAAGCTTCGGCAGCCAGTATTCGGGATGCCGCGAGGACAGCGACGCGTTTGCTCACATTTTGGGCCGAGACTTGTAGCACCATTTACCAGGATCTCGACATCCGACAACTTGACACTCTTGTAAGGTCATTTGTTGCCACTTGAGGGCCACTTTTGATGTATGGGAGGTCGCTAAACACACCGGTTGAAAATGCCTGGTGCTGTACTCAAGATGCTGCCCCTGGGATCCTTGCAGGAGACGATGGCGGAAGAAGGGGAGCTGGACTATGACGCCGTGGTCTACCAGTGTGGCGCCTGCGACGAGCAGTTTTCCTCGCTAGAGGAGATTGAGCGCCACCACAGCGGAGACGGTGCCGCCATCTGCCCCTACATGGTTGCTGCCGCAATCCAGCCCCAGTTCATCACCGGGGACGACTCGGAAGTGGTCGTCATGTCCGAGGATGTGGCCTTTCCTGGTGGCGGCATGCCGGCCGGGGCAGACGAGGTGGCGCTGTCCGAGGAGGTGGACGACCCCGAGCCGGCATTCCCCGTGGCGGCCCACGGCCACGCTTGCCCACTGTGTGGCCGGCAGTTCTCGTCCAAGTTCCTCCTGGACGCCCACGCGCAGTCCCACCATGCCACGGAGACCAAGGTGTACAGCTGCGAGCTGTGTCGGCAGAAGTTCTATGACTCCAACGAGTATGTTACCCACTTAGTGTCGAGCCACGCCAAAAAGGACCACTGCTGCACCATCTGTAACAAGTGGTACACATCGCGCAGCAACCTCAAGACCCACATGATGATCCACGCGGGACGCAAGCCCCACCAGTGCGACATCTGCGGCAGGCAGTTCACGGTGTCGAGCAACCTCAAGGCCCACCGCCGCATCCACACGGGTGAGCGCAAGTATATCTGCCAGGTGTGCAAAAAGGGCTTCATCACGTCCACGCACCTCAAGACGCACATGGCGGTGCACACGGGGGAGAAGCCCTACCAGTGTGAGGTGTGCTTCCGTGAGTTCGCGGTGAACAGCAACATGCGGGCGCACATGCTGACGCACACGGGCGAGAAGCGCCACGAGTGCCAGGTGTGTGGCAAGCAGTTTGCAACGTCAAGCCACGTCAAGACGCACCTGCTGTCGCACACAGGCCAGCGGGACCACAAGTGCCCGACGTGCGGCAAGGGCTTCACGGTGCCATCAAACCTGAAGGCCCACATGAAGATCCACTCGGGGCAGCGGGACCATGCGTGCGACCTGTGCAGCAAGCGGTTCTACACCAACAGCGACCTGCGGTCGCACAAGATGATCCACACGGGGGAGCGCCCCTACCAGTGCGAAATCTGCCTCGAGCGGTTCACGAAGATGTCCAACCTCAACTCGCATCGGACCACGCACACGGGGGAGCGTCCCCACCAGTGCGAAGTGTGCCACAAGCGGTTCCGCAAGGCGGTGAACCTGCGCACGCACCGCAGGACCCACGCCCAGGACCAGACGCACCCGTGCTCGCTGTGCGACCAGGCCTTCCCCAACGTGACCCGACTCCGCGCCCACAACAAGCAGTGCCACCAGGAAAGCCACGCCTGCGAGGAGTGTGGACGGCGTTTCCAGTCGCCCTTGGCGCTGGTGGCCCACCGCAGGGTCCACTCGGGGGCGGCGCCCTTTGGCTGCGCCCACTGCCAGCGCTCCTTCTCCAAGGAGGCCCACCTGCACCGGCACATGGACAAGCACGCTTCCCGCAAGGACCAGTGCCCCGTGTGCCAGCTGCTCTGCAGCTCGGGCCACCAGCTCCAGATCCACATGCGCACCCACACGGGCGAAAAGCCCTACGCCTGCGACCTCTGCCCCCGCCGCTTCACCAAGCAGGTGAACCTCAAGCGCCACCTCCAGGTGCACACCAAGGTCAAGTTTGAGTGCTCCGTCTGCCTCAAGAGCTACCTCTCGGAGAAGACGCTGCAGGCGCACTACCGCAACGCCCACCTCTCCCAGGCGCCAAACGACATCCACGTCGTGCTCAAGCAGGAGCCACAGGACTTTGTGCTCGAGGACGGCTCGGGACACTTTGTGCTCAAGCAGGAGCCGGACGACGTCGCCAACACACACGAGGAGGCCTGACCTGTGGCACACCGGACGCGAGTCAAGTCACACGCAGTTCACAGCATTTCTGAGCCAGGCAGCTTCTAGAAGCGACGTGCCAGGCGTTTGTCTGCAATTATTTTTCCTAAACAGCTCTGGAAACGAACAAACTTTCGTATTGATTGGGTTTGGTTTGTTGAAGCGTTTTGGCAAACTTCCTCAAGATTTGAAATTGCACAATAAATTTTCTTGAATTAAGGTAAATTTTTTATTTGTGTTCCCGAGTTTCTGCGATACACGAGCGTAATCACCAAGCCCACTGAAGTCACGTCAATCAATCGTCAATATTAAAAATCTGCAAAGCAGAGTGCCGGCACGGAAAGGAATTTCCATAGCAAACGGTGCGCGGGTATGTCCATGCTCACTTGGAAAGCAACATAGGAGTGCGCTGTTACGGCTTTAGAAAGCTGCCATCTTCCTCGATGGGGTGCGCTTGGGCGCGGCCATAATCCGATTACGACGCCTTAGCGAAACTTTGTAATCAGACGATGTCGCATTCAAGTGCACCCCACTAAGGAAGATGCCAATGCCCTGAAGCTTGACTTGCAAACGTGTATAGGCTACCAAGACTGAAAATCTTGATTGTGTGGAGTGCATGTTGCAAAAGAACTCATGGAAGCTCGCCATCAGCACTCGGTGAGCAGTCGGTTGTTCGAGCTACTGGCACGATCTCGTACAGACGATGCGCTTTCTGCGGCTCACCCGAGATGCGAAGATCAACACCAGATTACCTGGTGGAGTTAAATTGGTTAGTGTGCATTTTTATACAGTCAGAAGTTGGTCTGCCTTGGTGAGCGTCTGGTGTCTCGGTTGTAGATGAGCAATTTAGCCAGTGCGGTACAACCGCCAGCCTGGCGTCTTTAACGAGCACCACGCAGTAGTGATACGTGACCACATGCCGGTACGATGCTCATCCAGATCGAAACGGGCAGGGTGGGGATTGAACGCAAGATCCCTGGGATCTGCAGCGTGAGCTTTCTCTCCATGTGCTCTAATCTGGTGTGCGCTATACTTTGTTCCAGATGCATCTGATGTTACAAGCGCGATCATGTGGCCTCGAACAGTGCTTGCACTGCACGAGCGCTCATGGTTGGCAGGGAAGCTGAAAGCCTGGAACTCACTCTTGTAGTTTCTGCTGTGTGTTTCTGCTACGCTCACACTTAAAAACACAAACTTAGCTCTGTTACGTTGTGGCACGTCGGACGCACTTCCAGTCTGGGGCACTGGGTGTAAGTCACCACGAAGTCACCATGCGGGATGTGCATTCCTGTGTTGTTTTGAAAGAAACCAGACAAAAACCTGCTTTCTCATCAAGGTGCCGTGACTGGGGTTGTACCAAAAAAGTCTGGGAAAGGTTTAAAGGTCAGTTTTTCATGCGTTTTCTGCCTGCTCGGTTTGTCCGAGAACTTTGATAGGTGCTGTCAAAAATAAAATCCAGACGCCGTCGGTCCACGATTGCTTGTGCAGAAAGCACTTTGAGTTGAATTCACGAACTTATACTTGTTGTCGTCAGATTTATTTGTTTTGTTCCAACATGAATGCGAGAAAACCGGCAAGTTGTACGGACCACCTGCGGACTACATTCAGTGTGTCTGCAAGTTCAAACGGCTGCCTGATCTTTCGAACTGTCGTCTGCTCTTTCAAATGTTTCTGCTTGTTGTCTGCTCTTTCAAACGTTTCTGCTTTTTTTTGTCTGCTCCGGCCTGTAGATCAAACGTTGACCCGGTAGCTGTGATAAGAAGTAATTAGTGCAGGCCTTAAAAGACTTTTAAGCTTGAAGGTGGGTTGCGGTAAGTAGGTCGGCTCAGTGGAAACAGTAGATATAGGGAGGTGTCGATCATTGTTACAAGTGGCCATCACCGACATTGTTATGCTTGATTTGTTCGATTCTGCTTCTGATTTTCAGTATCGACGTCATAGAGTTATTATAATGTACGCTAGAGGTTCAAGTGGCGCTAGTGTGCTGACGCAAATTGAAGCAGACAGCAACCAGTCAAAAATTGACTTCCGGTAATGCATTTCTATGGGGAAAAGTGAGTGTATTTTCTCTCTGCGCTCGATCATAAGAGTAAATATCCTGAATAATTCGTACGTACTAGGTAGCTTGGAACATTTCTCAGTCAGGCCGACGAAATAATTGGTCAGTTACGGTGTTTTTCTTTCAAATTCATCGCAATAAAAACGGTGCTAAAACGGCTTCGTACATGTATTTATGTGCACCGTCGGACACTGTTAGCGCGAACACGACGTTGGCGCTTTTCATCGTGGGGGATATACGTGCCAAACGAATGAAGAACATCTGGAAATTAAGAAAGACGGCAAGAACTACGCAGTAACACCGGATCAGTAACTACATGTGCATATACGGTCAAAATTAATTGAAGGCCACGTAATCTATTCCTATTTTAAATAAGTACAATTTTATTCTTTCTGCTCTGAGCGAAAGCTGCTTGTTCCACGTTCAAAATATCACTTGCACGCTCGAAACCTTTGAGAACAAGTGCCCGATAAAAGCTGCACGGCAGAAAACAATACGAAGAGACACCTTTTATAGCCCATGGACTTTATTCTCTACGTTTTGAATGTTTTTATCCGCTCATGCACGACGGGGTAATTTTTATATAGTGACAGGACTGGCATATTATCAATATATAAGCGTCACCATATTGCTGGCGAGCCTTGAACACACTCTACATTCCTTTCGATTGTAATTTTGCTTCGAATCGTCGCTTGTTTTTACACACCTGCTGCGGAACACACGTTTGGGACTGAAATGTAGCGAAGTTAAACATCGGTCCCTGATGAAGAAAAATGCGCTAACTAAAGCAATTACACTTTTACAGTGTTAATCAAGGTACATACTATTCGGTACGGCCCAAATAACCAAAGTGTTCCGTGTTATTTTCCGGCGAAGAGACAAAATGCACGCGCGTTTTCCCATAGGAATACACAGGAAGACTGGAAAAGTAGACTGGTTGCTGTCTGCTTCAATTTGCGTCACGGAAGTCGCATAGACACTAGCGCCAGTTGAACCTCTAGCGTACGTTATAATAACTCTATGGACGTCGACCATTTTAGCAACGGTTCACGCTCTTGCAGCCCAAACGACATCTCGTCTGAAAATAGCGAGCAGAATCTCATCGTGCGAATCAGGCTTTAGCGCCCATTCTGCGGCATCCACGTGGAATGAATTGCCGCATGTCACATTATTCACGCAATGTTTTACAGTGTAAAGAGCCTCGTTAATTTTGCTGAAGCCACTGAAGTAATCAAACATTGCCAGGAAGACGTAGTATCAACAATTCCACTGCGAAAAAGAGCACAGGGACTCTGCAGGGAAACCGTCGGCATCGCCTTCCAATGGTTTGTTTATGGGCGACGGCGGGCTTGCCCACACTCCATCGCACATGTACGGCACATGTGGCGTCCACTAGGGGCGCAGGGAAATCTTTTCTGCTAAATTTAGCGGGTAAATTTGTCCACTAGATTTAGCAGGAAAATTCCCCCAGTAACTTTAGTGGGGAATCGTTCCACATAATGCAACACGTGCGGTTACGCTGACGCCTCAACCCGGAAACGGGCTCCTAAGATGTGCTCTAAAAGTAAAAAAACAAAAGGAAGAATGTAACGTTGATGAATACAACTACTTCATTTTTAAATCCATAGTATTTAGCTAAACTCTATGACATTACACAACATGGGAACCCAAAAAACTCACCAGGCAATCAAAATGAAACGGGATGTCTGAGCTGGTGAGGACAATGTCCAGTGAATAATATAATGAAAGGACACGCTTACAATAGGCATAGGTCGTTATTTCTCTAGAACACAGCTCTTAGGCGCCCATTTCCGCGTAGAGTGGCGTCGCCGTCGGCGTAATTACCTCGCTAAATTTAGTAAGAAATTGAATTGGTGTTGAGGTCATGTGACGTCAATTTTCCCGCTAAATCTAGCGGAGAAACTGATTTTGTTCATGGGTGACGTGACACAAAGTTATGTGATGTCATTTTCCCTGCTAAATTTAGTAGGAAAACCACTGGGGAAAACTGAATTGGTGTTGAGGTCTAATGACGTCCATTTCCCCGCTAAATTTAGCGGGGAAATTTTAGCTAAATTTAGGGGAAAATTTACCAGGATGATGAGAGATGGAGGAGGAGGAGGGGCATACCCTCCCCTCCTCCTCAAGAGCTGCGCTCTAGTTTTGCGGATTACAAAGATTTGCAAACGTCCTTCATTTCTTCTTTTTTTTTTTTTTTTTTTTTGCGGCGGCGGCGTTTTTTTTTACGCGGTTCTTTCTGCGCCGGTAGAAGCGGGCCCGATGGAAGCGGGCCGGGTCTCATTGAAAAGACCGCGAGACGGTCGAAAATCGGAAGGCCTCCGCGGCCGGGGTTCGGAGACCTAGACTCTACGGAGACCCCTGATCTAGTAGAAAGAAGAAAACAGACAGAGGACTAAACACACGAATACTTGACTAAACATCCACGCTCGTCACGAATATGATAGGATCTCCACCATACATTTCTACACGCCCTCATATTCATGCAAATTGCGTGTTTCCAATCAATAAAACCTACTGGCGCACGCACGCTCGCATACACTGGGTATCGCTTGACTTGAAATGCCAGAAAAGGCTAAATACACGGGCTCGCGCTCGCGCTAGTGGTTTAGACTCGAGCCAGTTCAGGCGAGGGTTTTGTAGGTAAGAAATACCTACTCGTTTCGGTTTCGGAATCCGCAGCTGTGTACCATAGCTGTGTTGGCAGCTGTACTATGGTGGCTAGAGCTGTTCTCAACAGCGAGCCCGCAGGCGTCACTGGCATCGCCAGCGAGCTGCGAGCGTGGCGAGCGCAGCGAGCGCTGCGGAGTTCATGCAACTTTATGCGCCTCTCATCTGCGTCTGGCTGGAGTTACATCGTTGCGTCGGTCACGTCTGACCACTGTGACTCTCGTGCTTCTGCTCTTCTGCTTGTGTCACGGTGACGGACCGATGCCGGGCAGTTTCTGGCGAGCGTGTAAGTATTTGCCGCTCATTCCTGATTCTCGCCGAGCTTTCGGTAACACCTGGCGGATCCCACGCCCGCTGACGAGAGCTTCGCCTTTGCTAATCGCATTCAGTACTTTCTAGAATTTTCGCCTACTGTCTGCCGCAATGTCGCCAATCTGTACGTCGAGTTTCTTTTTCTTTCTTTTTTACTTTTTCTTTTTTTAACGGATCCTCGAAGAGGCCATGCCAGCAGTGACGGACGTTCCGAGCGAAGAACCAACCTTCATGACGGAGGAACTGGGCAACGGAGACGTGCCTGAGGGCGGCAAAGCGGTGGCCGACCTGTCCGACGACGACATGCCTCCCCTCGAGGACTTGGCGGCCGACGGCTCCAACAAGGGCAAGAGGATCGTCATCGAAGACGAAGAGCCCAAAGCCGTCGACGAGGACGGCTGGCTGGACATTCTAGGCAGCGGCCAACTCAAGAAGAAGGTATGCCGGTTGTCGCGCGCTCACTCGCTGCATTCACGCTTTCAGAATGCTTGGTCGTCTGTTGGGTGGGTTCTGCCAGGCGATTGTTACTGACCATGCGGTGCTGTAGAAGGGAGCATGCGCTGATGGCGCAGCACACTGATCTCTATGACAATTTTAGTCCCTTGCAAATAAAGAGGGTAATAAGATATTGAGGTGGGCTAGTTGGATATGCATGATATAAAAATTAAATAGCGCAAAAGGTTGGACAAAGGACAAAGGACAGAACATGTAGACAGGACAAGAGGGTAAGGCGAGGGAAAGCTGGGCCGGGGAGAAGGAAGCAGACGGAGGGTTAAAGAGAGAAGGAGGTTTCCCCCTCTCTTCTTCAGCGTTCCGTCTGCTTCCTCCTCCCTAATCTTCCTTTCCATCGCACTACCTCCTTGAGTTGCAACGGACTGTTGCGCTTGCAAAGCACATTCACACGGCGTCAATTCTTGATCGGTATCCAGGCGTGCGAAGGCACAGAGATGCAGCACTTCGGCGTGCCAAGGAAGCTTTGATCACGCCGCGAAACCGGCGGAACTTGCTTTCAACGAGTTATGGCTCTTTCCTGCGGCACTGCACTTTCGTAAAAATTTCCTTGTGTTCTCAATGGGAAGTCTCACCACTTACACAGGGTTTTAAAATCTTCTTCAGCGAATGACGATGAACAAGTAGAAAACATGTCTTCAGCACAATGCTGCCAGCCTTTGCAATGCTAGCAAAAACACAATTTCGCTGCATGCAAGATGGCCGTCCAGTGGCTGCAGTCACGCTGCAGCGACCAAGCGGGGATGTGCAATTCAGCAATTGTCATAAAGGGATCAGTGGCGCAACCTCCCGTGAGCTCCTGTTTATACATCATTCCAAGCTGGACAGCGCCGAAACGACTGTAGCACATTTAGTTCCCTGATGTCCTTAGGACAATGTTACTAAACCCTGGGCCGCTGGCATCCACCGAGACCGAGCTAAATACAATGATAACTCCACCCTTTAGCGACGAGTTGGAACATGAAAGTTGCTTTATATGTCTACTGCTAGAGTCACTGAATTTTCCCAGCGTACAGGAACTCCCAGGCTCTAGGTGCCAAGATGGCGGCTCACTATTTTTTCTTTAGTGTGGTCACCATGAGCTTCTAGAAAGCATGTTTTTGTGTAAAAACATGCGGAAAAAACTCTTTTTTAGGAATGCTTATTGGAGGTTTGTACGATATAAGGTGCATGATGTTTTCTAAAATCTTTAGTTTACAAGGTTTTGCGTCTCAATTAATATTGTTTCTATACAACCATGCCCCACCGGTGATTTTAGGTAGCGCGTCCCGACCTGAGGGCATCCTAACTTCGGTAGTAGTTTGTGGCACATCCGCTTGGGAGACGGGGGTTGGCATCTCTGGAACCCCTTCTACCGTATATGTTTCAGCACCGAAGCAGAGCCATTTATAGAGAGTTTAGTCAATGGAAGGAGCAGGCAGAGCCAGGGCATGCACCATCATGCTCTCTTGGTCAACCAGAAGCTGAAAAGAATCCCCTAGCGGTAGCGAGAAACAGTTTTAATAAGAATGTAAGGGTTAAATGTAGTAACTCTTCATGGTTGAAACTATGGTGCATGTGATGTTTCGATCATGATCATGCAGAAAGATGTAAGAAACGAATGCGCTGCTCGAACTCTGATTTGCTCGGACAGGGTGCGACCGCTCGGACGGCAGATACCCGGCCTTCAGCACCTGGCGTACAGATTATGTCGATCGTTCCGCTAGTCGCACTCTTCTACCATGATTTTGGATGACCGTGACTCAAACATCACGTGTACCATATTTTCAGTCAGCTAGAGTTACTCCGACGCACTTATTAATTCCATTCCTCGCGACCACTGCCAGGGTATTATTTCCGGCTTCTAGTTGGCCACATTTGAATTTGTGAAGAGTTCCTGGAACATGCCCAGCCCGCTTTTGGCCAATGGTGCCCCCTATACTTCCCAGTGAATGGGCTCTCTATGTACGGCTCTGCGCCAAAGTGACCGATTAAAACCGAAATAGAACAGTCACATGCTGTCGAAAATTGATACTCCCAAACCAATACAATCGTGCAGTTCTCCAAGTGGCCGCTGCGGGAGAAATGGCAGCGTTCGACATTAGCTCGCTGCTCGAGTGCTTTTCGGTGCCACTTTTTCAGAGTAGGCTCTATGGCAGTTTCCCCGACTGAGTTGTTCTTGTAACGTTGTTAGGATGTCCTTGAGATGTCCCAACGTTCTGGGGATGTCCTGTGGACTTTCACAGGACATCCCAAGGACATTCTGAGGATATTCACAGGACTAAGTCTGCTATTAGGGTATCTTAATCTGTTTTGGAGAAGCCGTTGTGTCGACCGTCGCTCAACTGTTCTGGTCTCTCACGGGATGGCCGGGACGTCTCTTAGTCGTCCCTCCTCCGACACGAGACCTTCAAGGACTGAGCGTGCAGCCGAGGCACGTCGGAAGAATGCGGGCTGGAGGCCGCCCCCCCTTCTCACCCTGCCAGGGCTCGAACCAAATGCTTAGGATAGCTATTGCTTCAAATCGACTTGGTGTTTCGAATTTTGTCCCGTCCGCGGGACTTGAATTAATCCAAGAGCGATGCTCTGACGTCGTGGATTTCGACAGGAAATGGCTATACGCACAATGTGAAAAGCTCGTGCCATGTAGTTAATATGGTGGTGGAATTTGCTTTCTATCGCCCTGCAACATTTTGTTGACACTGTTTAATATAGTGGTGAAATTTGCTTCCTATCGCCCTGCGAAATTTCGTCGACACTGGATTAGATTTTTTAGGCGATAGTTGAAAAAGAAAATATGTTGTCAATATTGCCAAATGCGTCAGAAAGCACCCGCCGCCCTCCAGATTGGACCCTGGATCCTTTGCGTGTGATGCAGCTGCGTTACCTCAGAAGTGCTTTGGCAGTCCGTTTTGACAGTCCATTTTATATATGTTCTTTTTTTTTTTTCTAAATGCGTAATTACCTTCAGAAGCCACTAAAAGCTAGCACGCGATTCACCGAGGTGTGTTTATCGAAGCCCCCCTCCCCTCTCTCTCCACAGAAAACCAGCCGAGAAGCAAAAGGTTTTGCATCGTTTGTACAGCCATTTCCGGGAGTGGTGCACAATGTTGCGCGTATAGCATTACTGTTTGTGGAATTTATTGGCCTTGGGGGAGAAACTCCAAGGTCGAGTCCACCTTCTCCTTCGAGAAGATGTAGTCGGTGCAGCTTTCCATGTTGTGTAAATTATCCGAACATATGACCATCTCCATCTACGCTTAATACAGTGGTTGACATTGGAGGTAAGCTAAAAAATAATATAGTTGTGCGTGCTCGACGGCTTATTTTTGGCGGCACATTTTCGTTTCGTGTCGGGCATCACCTGCCAATTTCTTCACGAATGAAATAATGGTCGTAGACTAGCAACCCAGGTGACTCCCTGCTGACTCGATGAAGACCAGAGCTCTGTATTCCAGTTCCAGCTGGGGCTGGAATACATGCATCTCGTGCTTCTCAGCACCTAGTTAGCCGTCTAACAAAATGTGGCCAGTAGGTGCTGGTCAGTGGGGAACTGGTGTAGCATAGATGGGCTGTGTCCACGTTTATTCTTTCGGCAGCGTGGGTCGCGCACGCCGTTTCGGCGTTTAGTTGAGTCCTTTTGTTTCGTTTATTTAATTGCACCACCAACGATGGCGCCCCTCTGTGCCTGCAGGTGGTCCGAGCGGGGGAAGGTCGGGCTACGAGGCCGCAGAGGTCCCACTGGGTGGTGGTGAACCTGAAGGGATCGCTGGACGATGGCACCGTCTTCGAGGAACACACCGGCCTCAAGATGATCCTTGGAGATCTGGAGACCGTTTCTGGTGAGCCCAAAGTCGTCCGCTGCCTCGGCGAGAAGGCGCCCACTTTGCACATTTGCAGCTGAAACCAGAGACCTAACCGACGTCGCAGCGCGCTTATTGCTGTCGGTGCCGCCCAAGGGCCAGAGGAGTTTGCTGCGAGACCGCTTTCGATTATTTAGCCAATTGGCTCGGCTGGTCGAATGGTCCGTGTTTTTACCACACTTTTGGCAAGTAGATACTCGCACACTTCCAATCCGCTCTCTGCATGTTTTTTACGCGCTACACTGAGGTGCCCTCATATGCGCTTTGCTCAAGGCAACGACATCCCAGGCGAAAATCAGTCCAGTTGCAGCTGGATTATGAAACTAGAAATGAGGCAGTCCAGCTGGATTCCAGCTGGATCCGGCTGGACCCAGCTGGAATCCAGCTGGACTGCCTCATTTCCAGTTCCATAATCCAGCTGGAAGAGGACTGATTTTCGCCTAGGATCTGATATTACACCAATTATCTTCTGAGGCAGGTGACTAAGTTTAAGTTTTCCTGGTCTAGAGGGCTACGTACAGTCTAAGCTCATTATAACAGACTTGGTTGCAACAGACATTTGGATATAACATACTGATTTGTGAAGTTTGGTTGGTTTTCCTCTACATACTGCATACAACATACTCCTTTTACAACAGACCGAAATCTTAGTCAAAATCAAGGTCTGTTATAATGAGCTTAGACTGTACTTTAGTGTAGAGCAGGCAGTCGTCTGTAAATAACCTAACTGTAATTTTGGGACTCAGTGTTTCTGCCGAATCGTTGGCGTAGCATAAAAGTAACACTGATCGCAAAACTGATCCTTGGGGACTCTTGACCGCACCATACAGACAGACGACGCAACACCATCAATAGCTACAAACTGTCTCCTATTTCTGAGGTATGCACTAATCCATTGAGCAACGTGAGCAGTAACTCTAACTATTTAGTTTTCTGATAAGTCCTTCGTGGGATACCCGTTTGAATTCTTTTGATAAGCCTAGACAAACCGCATCTATTTGTCCTCTTTCGTTTGACGAGCACGAATAATGGTTGAAATGTTTCAAACAACTGCATTACTGTGGACAACCCTCTTCGAAATCCATGTTGATTTTTGTACAAAATGTTTGAACTCTCACAATTGCCGTAAAGGCTTCTGGAAATGATGTGCTCAAAAAGCTTATGAGAAGTGCATGTTAATGAAATACAGGGTGTCTAGCGACCGGGAATTGTCAGGAAAATTTTAATTGCCCGGAAAAATCTGGGAGTTCTCAGGGATATTGTCAAAAAGTGAGCCCAGTCAGGGAAAATGAGCTGGAAACGCCATTGAGTGCCCTGAGCAAAGACTTGAGGACTTGGGGGCAGAGATATAGGCAATAAATTCTGCTTGGAGAGAAGAGCGGGCTCTCCTTACCCGATGTAGTGTGCCACCCAGTGTAAAGGGAACAGCCGACAAATCAAGTCCAAGCCTTAGATTGGATTGTGGTCGCGACACTATAGGCTAAATTGAGTTAGAGCTACTAGATTTAGTAACAAATAGGAAAGCCGCAGACCCCAATCCAAGCTATGTAATGCCGTACTGGGGCCCTTGAGGTATAATAAATGAAATGGAAATAAAATTATAATGCATGCTGTTCCCTAAAAAGACGGAACAACGCAAACAGCGCTGCTTTCCTCCTCGCTGTCGTCTCTTCACCTTCCTTGCTTTGGGGAATTTGGGGACCGACAAGGACGGAGGTCTCTCCAGCAAAGCGTGCGAATGGCTGTCTGGACCAGTGTTGCGGAATGGGCACCCCCATTCCATTCCAAGTCTATTCTGGAGAAATTCCACTCCTTTCGTCTCCTTGGGGTGGAGACAGTGAACCCACTCCTGGAATGGCTCGACCCCACTATTCCACTCCTCTAATTCCTAAACGTGAAAAAATGGCCGTTGACAGCCACATTGGGTTACTGGAGAAAAAAAAAAAAGCATAAAGCTGCTGACGTTGTCAAACGCGGAGACGAGTATGCAAAAGCTTCCTCAAAGTGCTCATTTTACCGAGCCAAGGGGTGGTGTCACTTCAGACTTTAATTGCGCGATCAAGCGTAAAAGGCTCGCGAGTTGCAACATGCTTAGCGTCTTGTTTGTTTGATAATGCCTTAAAAATGTTTAGTTTGTGCGTGGCGCAAGAAGAGGCTATCTTGCTCTCTGTTTGGAATACTTGCACAACAGTACCTTGAGCTGGCATCAAAATATGAACTTTTTGTTTTTATTTTGATGTCTATGCTCGCATTCTCCTTCCTTGAAAAATATTGCTTAGCAGCAATAAAAGAAAATACACACAAAGAACAACTCTTTAGCCTCTCACCATAGTCAGATGTACTCTGTTTCACCTTACGATGAACCGCGACGGACGCTACGAGCTACGCGAGCCAATCCATAGTTTGTAGCTTGTTACGTGACTTTGCGCTCCCTGCGTCGCTCTGCCAAATTGGGGGGGGGCACATGACAACTTCCGAGTTATGAATTGGCTCATGTGGCTCGTAGCATCCTTGCAATCCATAGTAAGGGGAAAGAAAGACGACTCGCCGATAGCAGTTCGTGCTGCACTATGTCAAATATACTTATTGGTTTCATTGTTATTGAGCTGTCTCCATGTCGTCGCTGCCGTTTGTTTAGTCAAAACTGATGCGATGACACCACCGTCGAGAATATTTAATTGATTTCGCGCCGCCATCGGCAAGAAAGCCTGCCTCACATCTTGTTGCGCCGAACTGTTTCCAGTGAACCGGTAATCGCCTTATGAGATTACGGTTCCTTTCGGGTTCAATATCAAATGTCTGATTTCGGTTACATTTTTCTCCCGGTTCAGTTAAAAACAATGGTTTTGCGACGGTTTTTGGTTTGAGTTCGGTTCAACACCCTGGTTAAGAGCTACATGCAAATCACACATGATTACAACAACCGCTTTGTCGCATCTCGCGGCACCAAAAACAACACCTTGTTTGACTACAACTATTTAATTTTGGTTTACAGAGGGTGCGCCATTTTAATCCTCAAAGGAGCATGAGCCAATGAGACAATCGGTCTCCTCCAGTGCAATGATGCCGTCTCAAGAGCCACTTGTAATGCGCCAGCGAATTGCACCATCGGCCCGTAGGCCCTAAATGAAAATCAACGCCGCGTCCATAAGAACCGAGCCCATTCCGTTCCCATTCCATTCCGGGGTCACGATACTGTGGAATGATTCCGGAATCATTCCAATTCCGGAGTGGCAACTCTGCAACACCGGTCTGGATCCACGTGATGGGCACGCTCTAAGCCTCTGTCAAAGGACGCAAACGAGATAAAGCTTTCCTTCCGGCAAAAGAAAAAAAAATGCACTAAAGCGGAACGGAATTGGAGGAAAACCTTTCCGGCACAACAAATGGTGGGACTGCAAAAAAAGGCATCTCGTTTGGACAGCCTTTAGACCACGCTGGTGTGGCATCTATATACAATGTGATCTTGTTTGGGGCATTTTGCGGACGAAAGGAATCCGTCTGCTTCCGGTGCAATATCGCTCAACAGCCGTGCCTCTCACACTTGCTCGCAGGTCTGGACATCTCCATTGCCCTGATGGAGAAGAAGGAGCTCGCCGAAATAGTGGTGCCCCCTAGGTTCGGATACGGCGAGCTCGGCAGGCAAGTCCTCCCACACTCCTTCGATCTTCCACCCGCAAACGCCGACGGGCGTCCGGGACCGCCGCAGGCGCAGAGTGGGACCGCAGCTGAGACAAGCGGCCGGCCACTTTCCCGGCTCCAGAATCTGTTTGCGAAACTGCCTTTGTGGCTAAGAGCCGGCAGGATGCATGATGTTTTTCGGAAAATAATTAACCCCTTGAGGCCACGCCTGAGTATGACTGGGCATGTTCCTGCGTAGATTTCAGTTTTGATTGGCTCCCCGACTCTTCCAACTAGACTGTCAGCTTTATTTCTATGCGTGGAGCGGCGTTTCTCTAAGGTTTCGGCCATCACGGACTTACATACCCGCTCAGAGGACGGACCCCGAACGCATTCTGCGTCGGAGGTCTTGCGCGATGCCGTAAAAGAGCCTTTTCTTTTCGGAGCAATTTTTATACTCGGCGCGGACCCTCACGAATGCTCTCGAGGAACCCCAATGGTCCGCGGAGCACGGTTTGAGAACTGCCGGTGTAGAGCAATATTTTGTCTTCTGATAATGCTCGTTGATGGCAGCTGGCTAGTTTTCTTTAGGGGACTTCTGTTTAGGTCTGATCTCTTAATTGTTGTTTCATAAAGGTGAATCTATGTCGTTCAACCTCGCGCTTTATGGGAACTGCAGATCTAGAAATTAGTAATATACTAAATAAAGAAGTTCCAGTTCCGAATAAAAATGTCCGCTTGGGTCTCTTGCAAAGCGTGACCCCAGGGTGCGAGGTCAGGGCGTCGTTTTACGTAGTACCGCGTCTCGAAAAGTATAATTGGAGAAAAACATCCTAGGTTGGAGGCACGCAGACATCGATTAACTTTGAGCCCAAAGATCGGCGTGTCTTCGAGAAATACATATACTTCGTAAAGCAGGCTACAGTTGTTCTGCACAAGATAAAAATTTTCATTTGCTGCGCAGAAAAAAAACAACCTGGCACTCGAATGATTAATATTTTGTTTACGGCTAGAGTTGATCGTGGCCATCAAAGAAATCGAATGGGACGTTGCGTCGTACGGCGAGAGGCCGGTTTGATGACTTGATGCCCGTTTAGCGTTGGACAGGGACAATTTGACCGGTGCAGTCCAACCAATCCCCCGAGGCTTTCGGCGCATATTTTGCAGCGTGAATCGTGCGACTCCTCGCTGCCACAACGCTCATCCAGACGAAGACGGGCAGGGATGGGGATTGAGCCCGGGATCCCCGGTTCGTTGGGCGCCAGCTTTCTGTTTAGGGCCGGTTCACAGATTTGCGTGTGTTCGAGTGCCTCGCATACTTTTGTAACTGCTTGGCGCGTTGCGAGGGAATGCACATCTGTCGCGTTGCCCTGGAAGACTTCCGACTCGCGCATAACTAGATAGGTTTTGCGGTATTACGAGTATACGAATTTGCGTTCACGAGAAAGTCGTTTAATCCTCCAGTGGTATTGGACGTGCTTAGCTCGTCGACGTGGAACTGTCCCCAAACCGTCGGGGGTCAAGCATTCCTCATCCGCTTTCCCCAGTTCATGCACTCCACCGTCTTGGACCACCCGGGCTCGCTCGTGGCTGTTTCCAACTCTGCCATCGAACCGTGGCGCTCAATATTTTTAGATTTTCTTCTCGTTCAGTTTATGATTAGAAATTTGATTTCGAAGACAAGAATTAAGCGGGGTAGGCTCAGAAACGACTACAGTACAATCCACTTCTAACGATACCACATATAACGATGTACCGTTTATAACGATCAGTTTCAAGAATTTCTAGACTAGAAATAATCAGTTTCTAGTCCAGATACAACGATAATCGGTTATAACGATTGAAATTTTGGGTTTTTTCATTATCGTTATAAATGGGTTGCACTGTAAAAGCGGCAAGGGGTTAAAACGTCGTCCGAATTATTTCGAGCCTACTGCGGAGGAACGGTACTTAAAATGTTGTGGAGAGCGATACGCACGTTGGAAGTGTTCCGAGGCTACCCCAGAGATTGTGGCGGTATGCGAAACGCCCACGAGGGAATGCGGCGCACCGGAGAACACTCTAATGCGGGTGTACAGTCTTTACGCGCTCAACCGCCGATCCCCCGCCGTGGCTGGGTGGCAACTTCCCCGACGCCGCGTCTGTCCAGCTCGATCCCGACGGGGAGGAAACTGCAGAGCATCGTGGGTTGCTCGTGACAGGAGCCGTAGCTCCCGTCGCGTGTGGTTCTTTGCAAGCAGCAGGGCGCCTTCTGAGAGGGAGCCCGCTTTGTGCAGGAAGCCCGACGTGCCACCCAATGCCACCCTCCATTACCAAGTGGAGCTGCTGGACACGATGGAGCCCAAGGAGGAGACGGACCTGCCCTTCCATGAGCGCCAGTCCATCGGGTAACGCCTTTCTGCCCTCCAAGGGATTCCCCCCACAGATGGGGCCGGGATGCCACTCGTACGCCAGAAAGGAAACTTTGCTCGGGGGACAAAGAAAAAGCGCAGTATTTTTGCCCCTGAGACTCGTTTGAGCGGTTATAAAAACTGCTTTTATTTCAAGGTCAATGTTTCAAGGTTCTAGCTTGTCTTCAAATTTCTCCCAACTCAAATTATTGTTTAGGGGGGAGGGTGTATTTACTATTTGGTCATGTACGTGTCCTATCCAGGCGCTTAAAAAAGGAATGTCTTTGGGGCTTTTGGTTTAAACGGCGTCTTGAGTGCCATTGTGAGGCAACTGGCGCATCGTGAATGGCGCCCCGAGCGTGCCTTCAACCGGTGTGTTTGCCCATAACCTTCTATCTAGAGAAGCCTGCGTACACCAGATCAACAGGTTGCGGTTGCGGGGGACTGTTTTGAAAGCAGCGCCGCTCCGGAATCCTAGAGACCGCAAGGAAAACTGCCTCTCTTCATTTTGCAATTTGCAAGAGAAGCAACCAAAAAAATTCCGGATTTTATTATAGTTCTATTTTCTTCTCCTTGTGGAAGCAGGCAGGTAGGGGGATGCTCCGAGGGACTGGGAAGGGACGATAAGTCGTAGGTGCGGAGGAATGGCAGACGTTCCTTCCTGTCAAAAGACTGACGAGAAAAGAAGAAAGTTTCTGAAAGTGTCCGTGGATTCGAGGGGGTGCCACCAACCACGTACCTTCTTTGAGCCGTGTTCTGTCGATCTCTCGCTCCCAGTTTTGCCACTGGATGCGGTCTGGGAGGTGCAGGCTCTCTCCCCGTATAGAAGGCTGTGGTTTATTGCGTCTCTTACGGCTCTGTCGTACTTCGACGTTCAGCGCAGCAAACGCAGTGCAGAATGTGGTCCTTCGATTGGCCGGCGAGCAGCAACTCGATATTTCCGACCAATTAGTCTCGGTGTCCACTGCACTACAACGCATTTGCTACGCTCGACGTCAAGGTATAACGGCGCCTTTAGTCTCCCCTCACGCTGCCCGTCGACGTAGCGAGGACAGGGCACCGCTTTGGTTCACGCTCACGCTGGCTCATACTTTTCGCCGGAACTTTTACCGTGGCAACCGCCGGGATTGCAACGCTCTGGCTTTTGCGGCGTCGTGTTGTCGGGACAACTTCGGGTGCGCGGGTGGAATGGGACGCCGTTCGCGCGGTCAAAGACTTGTTCCGGGCACCCTCGGCGTACGGAGTCAAGACGGGAAGGGGCGAAAGCGCGCCTTCCGTTGGGTCGGGAATTGTGCGGCCTCGCGGCGCTTTTGAGACTTGTTCTTCACGTGCAGGGACGCCAAGCGGGAGCGAGGGAACTTCTGGTACGGGCGCGGCGAGTTCTCCAATGCGGCGCACTGCTACAGGAGGTGAGTGCTCGTTCGGACCGTCCCCCTTTCCGGTAGATGGGGCGGTCCGCTCTCGTTTACCGGCACCGTCGAGGTCGCCCTTTCCTAGGGAGTATCCCTCGCCACGTACCATCCTTTCATTCGAGGAGACTAAAAAATGTGGAAGCTATTTTCGATTTTGTTTGCATCGATTGTTCATTTTGGGAGCGCGTGTCGTTGCATTGGCGGACCACTGAGGATGGTCGTCGCGCTCGCGACACGACCTCTTAGATGAGAAAACACACTGGCACCATCTGTGGAAACACTTTCCCTAGATTTTGATTCTCTCTTTCTCGGCTCTTTTTGACAGTGTGTTCTCGCAGTTAGTACAACCTTTTGACCTTGCAAATACCGCATAACCTTGGCTCTGATGAAATGCAGTTCTCGGGTCGGCTCACAGATGGTGCCAGCATGCCAGTGCGTTCTGTCGTTGCTAGAGATAAGAAAAACTTGGTGCGAAGCAAACACGAGTGTGTGAAGGGGCCTTGGCCAATGGAAGCGCGGAAGTGACGGTATGCGACGAGGCAGCGAGAGCTTTGCCGGGCTGGACCGCTTTTGTAAAATGGCCTCATACCCTCGGCATTAGTTCTCCCCTCGGGCTCGGTCGTTTTCAGGGTGGTCAACTTGAACCCGGGACGGGGAATGCACTGTACGGGGCGGTGTGGCCCGGGCAGGTCGACTTTTGAATCCTTCTCTTAATTTCATTCTGAGTTTTTTGGGTGAATTGCGAACCTTATTACAAACAATGACATCTAAAGTTTCAGCCTCGGAGGCCAATTCTATGGCATACTACACTTACGAAGCTCCAGGAAAAGGTGACCATTAGAAAACGTATTAAATAAAAATCTTAATTATTATCGGCAAGATTTTCCTTTTGCGCGTTATGGAATACCCATAGTGCGAGTTAAGCATTGACACGTCAAAATCATATTTTTCTTTTATTATCCGAAACGATTGTAAACAATGTCGGGACATTACCCTCTAAAATCGAAACTTGGGAATTCAGTATTTGTGAAGTTAAAAAACAATTTCCAAATGCCGAATTCGAAGTTTCCGCTCAATCCACGCCAGTGCAGTGACTTAAAAAAATCGCAACATCTCCACGTGGTGAATGATGTTGATTGGGGCGAAGCTCTGGTGGTGCTGATGGTACTGATTTTATTGTTCATAGGTAGTGCTGATGGTGCTGATTTTTTTTTATTGCTCATAGGTAGTGCTGAGTTCCGGGTTGCGTTTCAACTTCATTATTACTGCCTCAGCTCTAGCTGGTGATGTGGTAGTAACCCCAACTCTTGAGTTACTACCACATCTCAGAGCCCCCTACTCGTCCCGCAGTCGTGGCCGAGTGGTTAAGGCGATGGACTAGAAATCCATTGGGGTCTCCCCGCACAGGTTCGAGTCCTGTCGACTGTGCAAACATTTTTTCTTTTTTTAAGAAGACAGATGGGATGGCAATCGATGTGAGCATGGACGCTGGACTGACGGACAAGGCTAGACCCTAAGGAGCTTCGCCCCTAATATTGAGCCGTCCTGCGAGTCGAGTTTCTCTCAAACCGCCGCCACTCAAAGTGTCGTGTTCGCCCGCGCCCCGCGAACAACCGGTTTTCTGCGTGAGTGCCGTGCTGCCTATCGCACGAGCAGACGACACTGCTCTGGCGGCATCACAACCGAAACTACGATTCACAGACACCAAACCCAGTTGTTTTGTCTGTTTGACAATTTCTTTTTCGAAGTGTGTGAGGTTGTCGGGCACCTAAAAAAGACCACTTCGTTCGATTCCCCGACTCACCGATCATCCTCTGCTATGTGCATTGAGCGCCACCATGTTTTCTGAGGGAGGTGAGAAATCCAGGAGGCGACATCACACCGGACTCCGATTTTCAGTATTTCAAAAAGAAGGGCCATAGTATGTTCGTGATTGCGTTAAGAAACATGATTTACGATTGCCTTTATTAAATGTTATAGAAATGTCGCCTACAAAGCTTCTAAATTTTATGATATTTGACGTTGCAAATCAAAAGAAGCAAGGAGGTGAGGATCAGAAGAGAAAGCGCCTAAGGAAAGGGATACTAAAGAGGAGCAGCGAAGTAACAATATGATCCAATGTGGATGGTTAAAAGGACGCTGCTGAAGATAACGTAATATTATGTCACGAGGCAGGACCAATCTTAACCCTGTTTTGGTTTTTGACTGATAAGATTACTCATACCATATCCTCCACATTTTTTCCCTTTGGAAATATGGGGTTCCGTTTGGAAATATGGGAAGGCAGACTAAGCTAGGATAAATGGCTCTTCCAACGAGGGTGAGATGTTCTGACCATGTTAAACGAGCTCCAAGCAGCCCTAATGGAAAAATGTACAAGTTTGGTCCTTACTGACTCGGAGGGCTGCCGGCAGGATGAAAATATTATTCTGCAAAATAATTCTTGCATGTTTTTAAATGAAAGCTTTGAGACCACTCTTGAAAGTTAACAAACACGAATATAACATTTATAAAAAAAAGATTTATAAAAAACTGGAATTCCGAGGTCATATTTATGCTTATGCCGTGCACCGGACATGCGAGGCCGACTAGTGTCTGCTTCTAATTTCTGCGTTTTGTTTCAGGGCCTTGGATTTCCTGGACGACATGGGGCTGGTGAGAGCTTTTGCACTCCTTGGATCGGCATTTCTTTGGTGAATTTGTGACGTAGGAATGCGGACTTAAATTACAAATCTTTTCGACATAGGCAGCCCCAGAGTGGATGTTGTGAAAGGCATTTGCATTGTGAAACACTCTTGGACTAAGGCTGTGTTCTGGAACTGACTGGCCTTCTTTGACATGGTGAATGGAACAGTGCACAGAAAGGCGAGGACAAAGAAAAGGAGCATGCACGACACACAAGCGCCTACTCACAACTGAACTTATACACTGAAGGAAGAAGAGGAGAACGTATCGAGAGTCGCGCAGTTCCAGTGCATGCCACGCATGACAGAACAGCATGTAACTAAGATGTCTTTGCCCCTTAGCCGAATCTAAAAACGAGGTTTCTGTTTGAAGCAGTGTCACTGATGGCTGGCTACTACAGCAGTCCCCCAAGCTATTCATGCAATGCACTCCCAAAATTTCGAGAGTCGTCTTGTCTCAATTATGTCCAATTATTGTATTAAAGGGAAAATGGGGCACTTCTACATTTGAGAAAAAACGCTTGAATTGCGTTCATTTGGCCTTTAGAATAACAGATATCAAAATTATATTTCAATGCGACGCGCCGGAGAGCCACAAGAGCAATTTCAAAATAGGGCTGAAGCCACGCCTCCCTAGCCTTGGGCAGCCAAAAGAGACGTCGATGATGTCACGGACAGCGACTGTCTTTCGCGTTTTTCTCGCGTTTAACAATACTTACGCAGCAAATGGTTTGGGTATTCGGGTTCACGGGGTAAAAATACACTAGAATTCACTTCTAACTCATTTTTTCTAAGAAGCTCCGTAGCTTCCCTTTAAGGGTTGGAGAACATGAGCTGGTACTGCAATGTACATGAAGATGACTGCCCATTGTACATTTCAGCGAACGACCGTGCTCGAGAAGGGGGTCATTCAGGCACCAGCCAGTTTGGCCCAAATGGCTTCTAGCATACATTAGTGGGATTTTGTACACAACGCCAGTTGAACTCGACACATAAAGAGTGGCTGTGGAGTTTCTGGCACTTGGCTTATTTAAGGTTTTCCACTGTGGAGCGAATCTTAGAACAGATTTCTATTATTCTTTTGGAAGCTGAAAACAGAACGGTCATATTGTACCCTTTGGTTACGCTCCTTTTATTTTTGCTATGTTTTGTGCACATGGGGAACAACTACCATTCGTTTCTGGTGATCTCTTGGTTTCTTTCGCTGAATTCCTTTAATCTTACATACCAAAACCCCCACCACCTTGTTTAAAATGGTAGTTCTTCTTCATATGCGCAAGACATTGCATAATTTAAGAAAAGCAGCCAAAAGGTACAATATGCCTGTGGTGTATTAGCTCCCAAAAGAATGGCGCCAATCTGCTCCAAGGTTCGCTCGATAGCGGAAAACCTTAAAAAACTAAGTTTTTTTTTTTCTGAAATTTTTGATGTTTTATATGTTTTATAAATCCGTCTACCTTCTAGTTTCATGTACAAAACGAATTGTCCGAGAATTCGCCCTAGAAGTTATAAAAATGTGTGTTTGAACGCCATTCCCCGGCTCAGAATATCGCACGTTTTAGCCCTTTTCGAGCTCGGCAGTTCAGCATCGTCCGCCATTTTTGTTGCTCCCACAAGGAAGAGCGAGCCTCCATCTTTCCGCTGACACCTTCCATAGTTTCGTGCTCGCAATAGAGAAAAAGAAATAGTTTTCCTGCATACTTTCGACACTCCAAGTGGCATGTAACGCGAATGCGTGACCCCCATAGGCCGCCACCAGGACGTGACGTGCAGTAAAGCTCGCGCAGCATTTCGTATTGTGCTGCATCACTATCTACTCAAACGAAGACCAAGCTTGCTGTCTTCCTTTTGAGAGTTTCCACGATCGATGGTGAGAAGAAGCGCAACTTTAGTTGTCGCAACAGTGTGTGGCTGTACAAGGGGAAATGCAAATCAAAGCAAAAGTGCGCAGCAAGCATGGCGGCCGTGGCCCCTTCGGGCGAGCAGAATGGTGACACGCCCAACAACGCACCTTCGAGCAACGCAACTGCCGGTCAGTCAAGCGCTGGTGCTTTCATTGTTGACGCCTCAACTTTGTGAGCACGTCGGAAAAGAGGCTGACTGCGTTCCGAGATGAGATGGCGAGAGTGGAAGCGGTACAATCGCCATTATCTGCGAAGTTGGATCTCCGACAGAACTTTTGGGCGGTGCTTTGTGTGGGATGCGCTAACTCGCTGTCGTGGAGGTCGTAGACAAGTGCAAGTACCTTGCTTGTGCTGGAAGTGTTGGGAGTTGTTCTTTCGAAGCAGCTGGTCAGATTGAGCTATGTGTGTGACCAGAGGAGGATCGGGAAGATGACCGACAAGCCGACTGCTGAGGCTAGGTCCCACCGTTGCAACGAGGCAAATCGTGCTGCATCCAGGACTCCAGCCGCAAGGACCGCGACCTATGCAGCGGGGGAATCCTAGTTTGGTGGTCCAAACTCTGATATTTGGAACTATATTACCACCAAGTTTCGTGTGGTTTGAGTGAGACTATAGGTATGTCAGATATTACTAAACTTTTATTTGCGGTTTTTTTAATTAGTGTTTGTGACTTTTTTCAGAGTTCCTGCAAACACGACTTTAACCTTTAAAGGTTTCTGTACCACAACAAGATTTTACAGAAGTGTTCCTGGTGATGTATAGTGTGCAAATCTTCCTAGTTATGCAATTGGCACTACTGAATTTTTTATAAGAATTATAAAACTAAAAGTGAATCATAAAAAGCGAAGACTCAATAGTTCATAATTTTTATTTTCTCTCGAGGTATAGATTTTCTTTTTTTTGCAGGTGTATTTGCACATTTTACTGTTCACAAGGAAGCAACCAGGCTATTTTAGGATGCTGTCTTATAGTAAATTTGAGAAAAAAAAATGGTGCGTAAAAAAGGCATGTTATATGCCTTCATATATATTTCACCGAGGCAGATATCAGAAAACTGACTACATATATGACAAGAAAAGCTCAATATGTACTAACTGCAAATTTTTGCCTCCTAGCCTCAAAAATTAAAAAAAAAAAAAAAAAAAAAAATATTCTCGAGGAGCATACCTCCCTAAATAAGCCAAGTGCCAGAAACTCCACAGCCACTCTTATGTGTCGAGTTCAATTGGCGTTGCGTAAAAAATCCCACTAATGTGTGCTAGAAGCCATGTGGGCCAAACTGGCCGGTGCCTAAATGACCACCTTCTCGAGCACGGTCGTTCACTGAAATGTACGGTGGGTGGTCATCTTCCTATACATTTCAATACCTGCTCGCATTCTCCAATCCTTAGAGGCACAACAATAATTGGACATTATCGAGACAAGACGACTCTCGAAATTTTGGGAGTGCATTGCATGAATAGCTTGGGGGACTGCTGTATCAGCCACCCATCAGTGACACTGCTTCAAACAGAAACCTCGTTTTCAGATTGGACTATGGGGCAAAGACATCTTAGTTAGATGGTGCTCTGTCATGCGTGGCACGCACAGGAACTGCGTGACTTTCGGCACGGTCTCTTCTTCTTCCTTTTGTGTATAAGTTGAGTTGAGAGTCGGCGCTTGTTTGTCGTGCATGTTCCTTTTCTCTGTCCTCGTCTTTGTGTGGGCTGTTTCGTTCAGCATTTCATCACACAAACTTGCCTAGCTTACCACACTTCTGCCCTTCTTTCCCACGCAAACCTGCTTTGTCACAAAAATACCCGGTCCTCTGCTTCGAGTTCGGAAGTGGAGAATCCGTCGTATGGGACAAGCCTTTTCTTGTTCGTTTAGCGAGTGGAGGCACGGTCCGGTTGGGCAAAATTTTTTTTAATTACCGAGGAAAGGAATTTGAGGAGCGTCAAAAAGGCACGAGTAAAGGAAAACCCAGGAAAAACAACGGGCAAACACCAGTGCTGACTTGTACCTAAACTTTATTGGTGCTGGCATAAAGTATAAGTACAGCACGGGTCACACCTAAACAAGTCTGTGAAAGAAAGACTCCAAATATAGAGGTTCCTAACTTGACTTGTTGGGTTGTGACACACACAGTATTTATACTCAATGCCAGCACCAATGAAGTTTAGTTCTGAGGTGGTGTTTGTTCGTCTTCTCTTACTCTCTCTCTGTGAGGTACTAAGAAACCAGCTTGCCCGGGGGTAATCTGGAAGAATGCTTGGGGACGTTTTCAACGACTGGGCAAAAAAAATACCGTCGTCCACTGACCCCCCCAGAACCTGTCGGAGTCGCCGCCCGAGCTGCAGCTGCTGCTGGACACTCGACTCAAGGTCTACAACAACCTGGCGGCCGCACAGATAAAGGTAACCCGCCCCACCCGGCCATATTTTCAGCTCCGGATAACGATCCTCTCGATTGCAGCACCTCTAACATTCTTTTAGCGAGCTCTACTTGTTGGAAAGGTGCTGCCGAGACGACCGCGCTTCTGCCTGGGTCGGTGCTTGTGTCTTGTACGCTGGAGTGTGCTCGCCTGGTGCCGTCTCTTCTCTGGGCAGGCCAACAACAACACCTTGGTTCTTCTGTTTGCGTTTCGGGAAGAAAGAAATATGGGGGGGGGGGGGGTGCATTTTTGGAGTTGGCCGCCGTGCCAACCGATTCCATTCATATTTTTCTAACGGAACACTCGAGGTCAGTCACTTCAACTAGACATACGCCACATATTATTTTGAGGGTTCCGTGGTTTTGTATAAATCCGAAAATCTCCGATAAACACCCGCCGGTAAACTTTTGGTCAATTCGGATTTATCCGATAAACTCCGAATATTTATGCGCCAATGCTCTTCCCCCCCCCCTCCCCTGCAAAAAAAAAAAAAAGAGAAAAAAGGAAAGACGTTTTTTTTTCACAATTTGATCAGCACAGAGTCAATGGTCCTGGGAAAATGCCACCATAATTATCTTTCAAATCTCAGACAGCTTGTCTCGTCAAGGTTGATACAGGGCAACGGGTCATTGTACATTCCGGTCACGACAAAAGCCACTGTTTGTTTCTAGTTTTGGGCCTTCCGATTTGTGTTTTAAGAGGAAGGAGAGGTTGTGTTTTTGTAACAGTGAAAGCTATGGACCATAGAGATTGCATAAAATTGGAAGAGGGGCAGTTGAAACTTTTTTTTACACCCTTAACCGCTCCACCTTGCACGGCCACAGGCTAGACTGATGGAATAGGGTGGGATGACTATGAGCTTCCTAGCGACTACCTCCAGGAGTTTAGCGACTACCTCCGGGAGAAGAGTTTTGCCATGCGCCAAGCTGTGTCTTTGCCGCCTCCTCGCTGGGGCTCCCCTTGCGAGCCGCTTTGCGTCTGCCCGCAGATGGAAGCCTACGAAGCTGCCCTCAAGTCTGTGGACTTCGTCCTGAGGATCCAGCCGGGCAACGTGAAGGCGCTCTACCGGAAGGGCAAGGTATGCGGGGACTGTGCCTGGACGGAAGGGTCATGCGGGGACGACGTCGGTCCCGCGACGGGAAGATTCTGGTCCGCTGTCGGCAGAAATGCGGGCTTGGCACAGGCGGGGTTGTTGAGGATGCTGCTCCTACAATGTACCTGGGGTACAGTTTTGGTCACTTGTGCTAGGATGCATGTGAGGTGCTTATTTCCAAATTTTTCTATATATGGATACCGTTACTTTGGAAGTGCTTCTCTTTCTCGGACAAAGGCGAGCATTTAATTATGCGCTTATTTTTAAACTTATCTATACTGTACTCACATTCACCTCTAAAACCATACTAAAATAAGTCCGGCTTCTCACGGAGCATTACTCCCCCTTTGTGTGAAGAATTAAGATACATATTAAGTGAATCTTAAGTCGCCGACCGATATTTCAGATGCTGATAATTCGGACTTGTTCGATATTCAAAGGAGGAACCGTGACCTACCCGACAGAAATAGCGTATATTCAATATGCTACAGTACTTGTGTACTGCCAAGTCCTACCACTAGGTGACGCTACACTACACTTTTTTTTTCTCTAGCTGCACATCGTTATCGTCATTATTGTTACCATTTTGCTTTGTTCACCATTCTGCAGTCGTGGACTTGCGCCTCTCATCTTGGCTCAGTGTATCGCGTTTATGGACTACGCTGGCTCGGACGTCATGGCCCCATCTGTCCTTCCGCCGTCGCGAAGTATTACTAAGAAGCGCGGAAAGTGCTCGGCCATAATGCTAGAAAAAAGAGGCGGTGATTCTCGAGCTAATAGAAAGTGACCGAACGCAAGCGGAGGCATAACCTGAAGTGACGCACAATTGAAGGCTTTTTTAAGCTCGCTTAGACGTAATAAAGGCAAGTTTTTTAATCTGCTAATTTTTTGGACTGCTCCATTATTCGTGCGTTTTTTCTGTCCCTGCAAAGTCCTATGAATTGGTCGGCGACTTAAGCTATTTCGTGAAAATGTATATGTTTAAACCTTCAAAAGCATAGTTTCTTCTCTTGATGACCAAACCTTGTGTAAGAACTTTGCACAGTGTGAACACTGCGCAAAATTTTCTCATTGATGCCTCGAGTATTGTATAGATCGAGTTACTTCAAAAAATATTTATTTCACTTTTTTTTTAAATATAAAGAATGAATCAGAAGTTAAATACACTGAGAGTCGCTCAACTTATGTTTTAGCATCATTTTATTTAAGGGTAAGGAGACACACTAGGATATTTCTCCCGGTTCACTCGTTGGAGGCACATGGCGAGCCCCACCCTTCGTCTGCTTCCCAAACTGTCCACGCGAAACAACGACGCCTTGGCCGCACGCACACGTTACGAGGCGCCTTAATTTATTTCTGGCTTCCCGGTAATTTTGGATTCAATATTGGACTTCGTACGCTAACTAACCTTCATCAAAACGTACGCAGCTTCAGGAGGCTCAGGCCGCACGCTCGCATTAAAGTTTCCCTCTAGGGTCTCCGGTGCCGTCAAGGGCCGGACGACGGACACGCCGGAGACCGGGTTTTGGATGACGATGTTTTAGCGAGAGACGGTTCGATGGTAGCGTCCGACGGTGAGTCCAGTGATGTGATTGCTGCACCAATTGTGCCAAACTGCGCCAAGGGGCTAACCCTGCTACATCCTGCTACATTTTTCCAAAATATGGGTAATCTGCGCCAAGCCTGCGACAAAGGACCAGTTTTGGTCGTCTTTCAAAACCGAAACTAAACTGAGTACCGTAATTGAGCATGCGTGAGCTAGGTGGTGCAAGCGGCCGCCCGACACTAAATACTCTGCATCAATCGTCTATCCGGTCTCGCATGGTTTTTCCCGCCGTCTGTTCTTTCGCGCCCTCGTGGGTCTCGTCACGCGTCTTTTTTAAAATTTTTTGAACGACTGATGCGGGTGTGTGCGGACGCATCGATGGTTACGTGCTGGGTACCAGCCATGCCGCCACGCTGTGAAACGAAACCACGTTTTTGCGCAGCGGGAGGTACTTTGTGAGCTGAAGCACTCGCTCCTGAAAACAATGGCCTTGGAAAAACTATATTTGGTCCCTGCCTGCCAGTCCGCACGTCGCTGCAGATTTGGAGCTCCGTAAACTGAAATATAAGGACCGCCACATCTCCATCAGCATTCCTGTTCTTGTTTAAAACACACGCCACTACAAAAATCTCTTTTTAATTCAAAAATTGCTGTTTCGAAGTGTTGATTACCTAGATTTTTCTTGGTGGGCATTCTTTCGAGAGGAACTTCGGAACGTGAAAAATCTGTCTCGAAAGAAAGTTGAAGATAAGCGAGCTAAAGGCAAAGAAGGCAATGTCTGCACGCTGAACCCGTACAGCGCGCTTGTTTGTCTCGGGTTCAGTCGCTGCTTAAAGCACTTCAAGAACGTTCTGACCCTTACTCGCGATGTCCTGCATCGATGCGCTCAGGCTCTTTTTTCTGTGGGTTTAGCTTGTACCGCGCCTGCCGGCCTTGCAAGCACGCGCCGCTGGACTGTTTTTTGTCGCATGCTGGGCAGTTACATTTTGCATAGATTTTTGGAAACCAGGTGGCGACAGAGTGGAGAGGCATGGGTTTGGTTTCGATGGAACAGCCGTCTCCGCTCGCGCAACGAAGCATGTGCAGCTGCAAGCCTGTCGAAGTTGCCCTCACGTGCATATGAACATGATTGCATAACAAAGGCACCAACCGGGACGCTTGCAATTAATTCACTGTTTTACGTGTACTTTTGACGAAAATCTGGCACGTCGGGAATCAGTAAAACGGTGGCAAGCGGTGTTTTGGAATTGCTCGGTAATGCCTACAGCACTGTACACTTGTGGGATGTCTCAATGTCTCTTTGGAGACATTGGAAGTGGACATTCATTACTAGCCTAAGCCAAAGCGAAGCTTGCAGCAGCCTTGCAGAAAGTTTAGTAAAGAAAAAAGTGCCCGTCAGTCGTAATGCACCTTTTTCTTTTGTACAATTTCGCATTGCACTGCAGTAGTTATGTGTTTAATCAGTCGGAGACTGCTTTCATTTATTATATTATATAACTAGTCAACCTAATGCTGTGATATTTACTACTGTGCTTTTCATTTTCAAATAAATTTTAATATGTGAAGTTTGGTTCTTATCTATCGTTAGTGGGTACATATGTATGTATCATTTAAAGGAATAGGGAAACGAAATTCCAGCGCTCATTTTCTAGCTTGAATGTGTTGCATGTTGCACCCTAACCTCAAAAACACCAGTCTTCCGTTGAAAGGCACAAGAAAACTGATTTTAAAGTTAAATAAACAATCTTTCAATCTGCACCTGGTGGATGCATGCAGAGTCTATTTGGGAGGTAACCTAGCAACATTTGGAATTTTCTTTCTGTTTTTTTTTTTTTTGTGCTGGATATCCCATGTTGCATCGCGCTCTCCGTTCGCTTCTCTTCGAGCGCTTACTCAAGTGCACCGTTTGGAACGAAAAATATAGCCAGTCGTTCAAAATACAAACGTGCGATTATCATTTACAGTTATTATCCGTAATGCTTGACTCATTTCCGAATGAAATTTGAATATTTCAATTTTTGTTTCCGTACCCCATTGCAAATTGTGCCATGTCATTGACATTTTAGTTACATCCTGAAAGTCTCCCAGGTGGTCGAACTGGACCATAATTTGTTTATTTCGGCAAGCAAAGTGCCCTTTGTTTGTCCAGCACTTAAAACAAATATTTTTTATTTTTCTAAGAATATCTGCTCCGAAAGCCACTTCTGCTGCTCTGAAACACAGTTTCGGCTGCTCAAAAAGTCACTTCTGCTGCTCCAAAACACTGTTTTGGCTGCTCTGAAGGCCACTTTTGCTGCTCCAAAACACTGTTTTGGCTGCTCTGAAAGGTGCTCCAAAACGGCTTAGGCCAATCACATCACTGCGAGTCCCATTCCGTCTCTGCCGTGCAGGTTCCCCTCAAACGGCATGCAAGTCGGTCTGTTCCTTGCACACCTCGTGCGTTAGTTTCCTCCCAGCCTGTACCAACGACGGCACATGCTTGACTGCCTCGTCGTTGCACTTTTTCTATGTTTCCCTTAGATCGGCGTGCTTCCCCTTGCATTCCAATGCACCAAAGACTCATTTTTGGTACGCTCGCTCGTTGTAGATAGCCTCGGCGACACGAGGAGTTTGCGTCACCGGCCGGTTCCTTTTGCAAGTGGAGGTGATCGTCCGCATGGACGAAAACGAGGTCCAACAGACCCCGTTGTTCGCCCGGAGGTTTATGTCTCGGCAGCGGTGGCTTTTCTCGACGTCGGAGCAATTGGAAGACGAAGCTTTCGGCCGACGTTCAAAAGCCTCTGGTCCGGGTCTCGGAGCGACGGTGTTGCGGACCGTCTCTGCGCCACGGTTGGAGCACGGCCTCACCAGGGTTGGGAACGTACCAGAGCACGGCGTTTTTGCAAAGCCACAGTGGCACTGCCCGTACGTTGTACAAAGACCGGGGTGGAACGGCTGCGCCATTTGTGCCATTTTGTGCTAGAAGCATTTGTCTGCGCCATCTTGTGCCATGTTGCACAAACTGCGCCACAACCAATACCTCGCGCCATTATCTGCTAAATTGCAAAACGTGCCCCTTAAAAATTGTATCTTTTGTCTTGGGTACGGTTTTTAACGACTCGATTGGCAACAATGAGCGCGTTTAGCTTGGTGGGCCTTGTAGTCCTTTGATCTGTTTATTCTTCCTGTGTATCCCGAGTCAGAAGCGCGCGAAAAAACTCGGATTCTAAGCGCTACACCACCTGCAACTGGATTGTTATTCTTCAACCATAAGCGGTTAAGCGAGTTAGCCGAGGTAAGGTCGAGTCGTTGAGCGTCAGATTGCCTGAGGCTCTGTGGCCCGGGATCCGAACATCAGACAATCGAAAACAAATGAGCAAAATAGTCCTTTTAGTACTTCATCGTTGTTGGAACTGCATTCTCTCAAGATAAATTGTGATTTCATAGAACTGTAACGCGTCCGATCCGAAACCTTGCCGGCCAGAAGCCCTCACGCGAAGCGGTAGATCTGCTCGGCGTACTTTAACCTTGCTCCTGCTCATCGCTTCAAATACGATAACTCCGTTAATCGTAGTCTGCTGCTTCAATATTGAGTTGCACAATAGGATAAACTCGAAATTTGTTTCCCTGTTCCTCCGCGCAACTGCACGTCTGTCGTTTACGCACGTCACGTGGTTCGCACATATAATTACTAGGGTGCCTTCATGTGCGCTTCGCATAGAGTGATGCCAACTGCCTGTTTCCCTCTCCACCGCCGCCATTTTGTTCCTCATTGTTTCCCCGTGCGTTTCCCGTGTGCCGGAAAGTGGCCTCTGTGTCCATCGGTACCCCCATCCGAGGGGGGAAATACTAATCCTCCCTCCGTGGGTTCCACAACGCTGCTCCGAACTTGTGAGATAAGGTGCTTGTTTCCGGGAGGGTTATAAGCCCCACGGATTATCGCCGAGACCAAAATGGCTGCTGTTTTATCGGCGAGTGGTATTACAAAGGGTGGCACCACCCTAGGCTCCCTAATAATTACTATGTCGAGCACGTGTGGGTTGTGCGATAAGCAGTGCTGGTTGGCATTTTGAGCAGCTGAAAGCCACTCAGAAAATATCAAGGAGACTATCTTCAGAAACATATGGTACTTGCTCTTTGGTTCTCATTGAGGCTCACAAAGTTTCTCAAGTTTTCGCATCTATTACACTGTTACCCCATATACCTAGATCCTTAACCACTCATGTTCATCTGTGCTGCTAAGCACAATTGAAATTGTGCCCGTGCTCATCTAAGGCACAAGCTGAAATGCAATGAAAAGTGATCTGAGCTGCTCCTAGCCTGCTCAGAGAATGTGGTGTTAGCTGCTCCCAACCTGCTCCAACACAGCTGTTTCAGCTGCTCCCATGGCTGTTCCCAAGTGCATTTCATGAGTTCCAACCCTGAAAGGACGAACACTCCTTGAGCAAAGCGCTTTGTACGCACGCTCGGAACTTCTTTGCAGAAAGAATGCTACGGTCGTTTGGGGAAGCAACGCTCCCCTCGTCTGCAGGTGATGTTTCATGCCGCGATTTTAGGGCGTTCCTCGCGGCTCCGATTGGAGGACGCGCAGCGGACGCCGCCGGACGCTCGGCTGCACCGACTCAAGGCGTGGTCCGCCTTTCCCAAACAGGTCCTGGCGTGCCGAGGCAACGTCTCGGAGGCCGTGGCTGTCCTCGAGAGGGCCCTCAAGCTGGAGCCCGAGAGCAAGGTGGGTTTCTTCCCGAGCGAGCCGAGGGGTCGCCAAGACGTCTCCGGCCGGTCTCTCGCCGAGAGGTGCCTGCTCGGCAGTTTCGCGCGCAAGCCCGCCAGTCGTACCGCAATGTCTTGTCGACAAGGACGCCTCCGTTTTTCCCAAAAGTGGTCCGATGCAGGTCGTCCTTAACGACGAGGCAGAAATTCGAGCGTTCGCCCGGTTTGTCCCCGACGGTGTCGTCCGTCTGTGGCGGGGTATTCGTATTAACGGGGGTCCGTATCAACCAGACGCGAATAATGCTTTTCTTTTTTCTCCTCCCGAGGTATCGCGTCGAGGGGAGGTCCTACAAACGTGGACCTCTTACATTTTGATGGAACGACGCGACGAAGTGCGTCAAACGGGGAAGTGAGGAATAAAGTCTATATGGCCGTTAACTTTAACCGCTTCGTCCGGTTTTTGACGAAGCTAAGGGACAAAAATATGTCGGCCAGTCTACGTCTAGTCTGGTCGACGCGCGAGAGTGTTAAGCCGATCTGTAGCATCCAGATCATTCGTCGATTCTCTAAGCTACCGTTCAAGCTTGGCGCAGAAAAAGGGCTCCCAGATTGTCGGCGGTATTACTAGCCGGCAGCACGAACCAAACGCGGCCTACACCCTCCTAGCACTTATTTAGCTACATTGATGAGATTTCTTTCTAAAGTTCGGTGTTATTATTATTGCGCTACTCTTTTTTTGGACAGATTCTGTGTTTTTCGGCATCCATTTTCGGTGTCAAGCACTAAAGCTTGGCGCTTATCGGGGTTTGCGTCGAAGCAGTTAGGACGTTGCCGTCAGATTCCCCGACCTCCGGGAAACATACGACCCAAGTACTCGGGAAACGTCGGATACCGACAAGGGAAAGGCACGACACAAGGTTGCCTCTTTCCCGAAGAAAAACAAACTCCTCTCAAACAGTTTGGCGCTGACTGCGTTCCAGGTCGTAACAAAATGAGGCCATAGATGGAGATTTCTTCCCACAAAGCTCGGGTTTCTTTTATCCGAGGACCGCCGCCATTTGGGATCTTCTAGTTCTCCCCGACCTCGATAATGCCACCTTGGCAGTTGCTTTTCAAGGGTTTGTTGGGTTGTGCAGAAAATGCGGAGCTCCATTTGCGAGGGAGCGGTTGGGTTTGCACGAAGCTTGGGCCGACGGGGGACGATGTGTGTGCAGGTAATCCAGCAGGAGCTGGGGCGGCTGTCTGCCAAGAAGCAGCGGGAGGACCGTGCAGAGAAGGCCATGTACAGGCGCATGTTCGGAGCCCAGGGGACTCCCCGGCCCCAAACCCCTCGTCCCACACAGGTAGGCGCGACCAATCAATGAACCTATCTATCATTTATTTATCTAGCTACCTATGTATTTACCTTCCTATTCATCTATCTACCTAATAGTTATTAATCTTCATAAAGAAGTTATTCTGGGATTAGTATATATCAGTGAGATCAAACCTTATCCAGAACAGGTCCTTTATATCAGAATCAATTATGTTGCTGGTATATCACAGAATCCACCTTATCGCGCTCGTTGATAAGATAGATTTTATTCAGGAATTTCATTGTGTCGTAAACTGGTATCTTTTTCGTAAGGAAACTTTGTTTCATAGATATCAGAATTGTATCTAGGTTGGAACACGGCGGTCACGGTTGGTCTTGAACCCATCTTTTCCAAAGAACTTTCTTCCAGCGCAATTTCTGACCTCCTTTTTTTATTCAAATAATGGATCAGGTTTTTAATTAGATTTTGGGACATTTGATCCTGGGAGCATGTGCTGATCCTTGGTTTAAAGCTAAAGATGTGACCTTTGTTCTTGGATATGCAGTTGAATTTTATTAATTCAAACTGGAGGGGGGCCGAAAATTTGTTTGAATAAAGCAAAGTTTGAATTATCTGGAGTTTCCTCCTAAGAGACGCAGAGGATGGGACCTGCATGTCAGTTTGAATTAATGTGAGTGAACTGTATGCACCTTGCAAGTGGGCGCATTTCGGTCTTCTGCGCATGGGAAAGTAGGGATGAAGGTGGGAGAGGAGGTTATACTAAGCTCCGCCTCCTGGGGGGGGGGGGGGTCGCGGTCGCGGATGTAAACATCTTGGCGTCGGCAATGGCGGACGTGCTGTAGCAGCTGTGGCTGTAGCCGTGAGTTCTTCAAGAGTTGCTGGTTAAAAAAAAAAAAAAAAAAGATAGAAGAGCGTTTTGCTTCTGTCCTGTGTGATCAGGCGCTGTCCAAGGGGCAGTGTTACCAGTGGAAATGAAAACGTGCTGCGTCTTTGGATGTGGTGGGCGCATTCAGGACGGTATGCCTCATTTGAAATTTCTAGGAGGATTGACAGATTGAGAGCTCTTTCTTGATTCGGTGGGTGGTGGCGCATGTCCGTTCTTAGTTGGTGGAGTGATTTGTCTGGTTAATTCCGATAACGAACGAGACTCTAGCCTATTAAATAAGTGTGCGGTTCTCTGCACCTTGCACCCTTCTCAGAGGGACAAGTGGCTCCTAGCCGCACGAGCCAGAGCAATAACAGGTCTGTGACGCCCTTAGATGTCCGGGGCCGCACACGCGCTACACTGAAGGAAGCCGCAGGTTTTTATCCCTGTCTATTAAAACAGTAAGCTTAGAAAAAAATGGCTTGAGCAAATACAGAGGGCTAATTGAAGTCCATCGGATTACCCCCGAGCAAGTGTTCATCTCTTTAAATAACAGGGCATAGAAAAATAAGTTTTTATAAAATTTCGCCAAAAATAAAAACAATAATTACTTCTTGGTGTCAACGAGTCTACGACATAACCTCCGCGGCACGCTCGACGCCGCTCGGGTAGCTCGATCGATCTTGTTTGGATTCTCTTCCACGGATTAGTACAGCTTTTCAGACTTTTACCACTTAGGTTTATGCCACACATACATACCCAAATACGCTGATTGACAATATCCTTTTAGTCGTGCGAGAAAAATGTGACAACAAGCAGCGATCGAGCACTTTTGGGCTATGATATGCTCACAGTAGCGATCGCACAATTGCATTTGTTTATTTCCAGTCACTACATCGGCTGTCATCTGTCTTTAGCTGATTATCTTTGAACAACTCACCCAACGCAAGGTACCATTCTTCACTCGCTTGCTCGCTCCTTGATACGTGTCTGCTAGTTAGACAAAAACACTTTGTACCGCTCAAGTTATTTCGTCTGCCCTCTCTGAAAGGGGAAGTCGAGCTCGTTCGTAAAGGTAAGACAGCTGTTGAATAGCAGACGACGTTGCAAAGGAGCAGATGATGCTCAGATAGTGGGTCGCGGCAACCCACTATATTTCCAATCGAGCCAATCAGAGCTTGGGGTTCCGACGTCCCCGCAACCCCTGCGCAAGAAGCAGACGAACTTGCCCTCCGCATAAGAACTGATCAGGCTATACGCATGCAAGTTGATGAAGAAGACAAAAACATCTCTTGATCTAATCAAGCTACTATATCCTCAGGGACCTACTGTAAAATATGAAGCAAGCTTCCACTCAAAATTGGAAAGCGATCTTGAAAAAATAGGGGATGGGGTGCGTGCGAGGTCATCAGTTTTACATATATATGCACTGTGCATATTTTTACGGATGTTTAACATTTTGGGTGTGGGTGCTTAGTGTGGGATGGGTGGACGTGCACGGTATTTTACGGTATTCTAAAAGAACATTTTACAAAAATTCTTTAATTTTTAAATCTGAGAAAGAAGCAAAGGAATTTAAGAAATGGATTCTAGAAAATGTTCAACCTAACATGAGAAGAGATTGTGTTAATATTGAAACATATTCATGATTTCCTCTTTTTATAATCGGAGAGAGAATAATTGGAGATATATTCATGATTATGCCCGTGATTAGAATCAACATGGTTTAATTTATTTCAAATAAATAAAATGCCCACCTTGGATTGTATGCTATAAAAAATATAAGTTCATTTCGAAATAATGATTTATTAATAGTATTTTGTAGGGTGCAGAAACGGCCCCCCTTAGAGGGAATGGTAAAGATATAGGATGGATCTCGTTCCAGAAATATATATTGATTCTTTCTAGATTCTAGACCTCTTAATTTTATTGAAATATAAGTGTCAAAGATAAAGATGGATCTAGTACCAAAGAACATATTGAATACTGTTACGCTGAGTTCTGACTGTTATAACTTCATTAAGAACTTTGATAAGATCTTAGAATATAATAATTGATTCATGTTAGCTAATAATAATTCAACCTGAGGTAAGTGCAATTTTTTTAAAGGATCTGAAATCTAGGCCCCTTAATTTTATTGAAATATAAGTATTAAAAGATAAAAAAAAAAGATGAATCTAGTTTCCAAAAACACTATATCTTATACTGTTCAACTAAAGTTCTAACAGTTCTAATTTTATAAAGAACTTCAATATAAATTTTGTATATTAAATGGTTTTAGTTTCGCATCCTCGTCAATACTTTCGTAAGCGTTCAAATGATGTTTATTGTGATATGCAAGGACGTGAATTTGTGTAAATTAATTTAAATCATTGCACGATTACTGCTGTATTCTAGTAAAGCATTTTTTAAAAGAGCAAAACCTAAAATGATTTTACTCGCTAAAGATGTTTGCAAAGGTTTAACATAAACTACCAAATGCGGCATCCAAACTAGTTGAAAATGCCTTAAATCAAAACAAATCAAGGCTAAAGAAGTTACAATTTTAAAGAACAGGTTATCCAATAGTAAAACAGAATGTACAAAAAACATATCACAAACTTTTACTCGGAGGAGGGGGATTAATAGAAAACAAAAGATTTAGTGCAAGATGGAACGTGATTCTTAACTGCCTATTGGTCCTGTAGCAACCGAATTCATTGTAAAAGTTTTTCCTTATAAATGGACTACTGCAATTTGTGAGAAACCGGAATGCATATTCTAACTGCCGAAAGACATGATTTTGAAATTGTTAGAAATTCAAATGATACTATGAAAACTGAAAACAATGTAGAACTTTTGTGTTCCAATACATACGGGAAGGCCTAAGATTTTCCAAAAAGTGTACCATATTTTCCGGACTACAAGTCTCACCCTCGTATAAGTCGTACACCCGTATATTGAGCCGTTTTCATTAGGGGTGTCGCGAACTGGTCGGGTTCGAGTTTGACCAGGTTCGACTTTTTCTAACTTCTTGTGAAAAGTTTGGTAAAAGTTCGACTCAGGTTCGACTGCTACAGTGAAGCCCGTTTAGAATGAACCCACGTACAACGAATTATTGTCGATATCGAACTCGCGGAAAATTTTTTATAAAAATGCATGTAAAAAGTACTTTTTATAACCAACAACATATTGGCTATATCGAACTTTTTCCCCTCTGGAAGGCTTCCAAAAACGCTCAAACAATCCTCTTCTAGCCTGTCCCTTTCCCTCCCCCCCCCCCCCCCAAAAAAAAAAGAAGTAGGAAAGAAAGGAAATTCCAAGAGCTCAAGTTGCGTACAAAACTGAGCGAAGAGAAGCTATTCAGAAGAGATAGCCTAAAAAAACAAACTCTGCACTAACAAAAAAAAAAAAAAAAAAATCTTTTCAGCACGTTGTTACAAGGCGGAAGCAAAGAGAGGAGAAAGAAAGAGAAGGCTCTTGCCTTACAACGAACGCATCATGGAAGTTTCTTGTAAATGGTTTTTGCTATATCGAACTGATCGTAGCGTTTCCTGCTGTTTGTTATAAATGGGTTTGACTGTATGTGCATGTGCGACAGGCTGACCAGTTGGCTTTGAATTGGATGCTGATGGCTAAGAGACGAATTAAAGGGTAACTGCAAAGAAAAAAAAGTATTTTTTTAAACAGCCTGATTGGGACAAGCATGTCAAAAAACAATTTTTCCGCGAGAAAAAACATTTTTTACAGCAATATTTATTGCTTGAGACTGATTTTAGTTTGCGGCTATTTCGCCCGTTTTAAATCTCGCGCCACGAAGTTGGGATTCCGTAACGTTGAATCCCAATCGGCAGCTATACTTCTCATTGGCTAAGAGTTTGATTGACAGCTTAGTTCTTTGTTGTTAAACCTTTGTTATATGTTGCAATTTCCTTTTGAGCGGCATATTTTTACGTTTAAAGAATAACCCATGTGATGAGAGTTATTATTCTTTACAAAAGGTTTACAAGACGGGCACTTCCGTTTGGATTCATACCATAACAAGCAAAAACTCCGCCATTCTTTCATGGCCGCCGAAGTCTCTGCTCCCGCCTGACTCGTCTACCTCGACTAGTCGTTTCGCCGAAGTGATCAGTGTTTCGTGCTGACCCAGGTGCTTGAGTGAGACTTCTTGAAGTGAAGT